TGGCAGCGCCTTCAGGGCTCCGCTTTCCTGCCTCAGGTCCAGAGCAGGCTGAGCAGCAAGTCCTGGGCACTGGCACCACCAGGTCTTCCCGCACCGAGTGGGTAGATCAATGTGCCAACCTCCCCTTGCTCAGAGCGCTTCAGGGCGGCTTCTGGGAGGGGGGTAAGCCCCCAGAGGTCACCAGCAAGGACAGGCACTGCCATAGCTCTTTGCCCATCCCTTCTAACCCTCCCTTCCTCACTCCCCATTCTGGCGGACAGACCCCCTGCACCAAGCCCTTGCTCAGAGACTGTTGTGGTCCTGCTGCCCACGCACGTCGCCCAGCCCCCACCCAAGAGGGGTGGGCACACATGGCTGCCCGAGAGCCTAAAACAGATACATCCGTGGCCTGGTTACTGAAAATCAATGATTCATTTATTATTTTGATGTTCAATGTTTAATACGCTGCCTTGGGACTTGGCTGGCTCAGGACACACACAATAAATACTTCCTTTCGAGCATTAGGAGGACTTAATGGTTATTAATAGAAAGCCCTTTCAGGGGATGTGGGAGCCGGGGGCCTGCCCCGCCAAGCTGCCCGCAGGCCCCAGCCCAGCTCTGGTGGGACCTAAGGGCTCCCTTGGAGGCTCCGCCAGCCCCAGGGGCCCTGGCAGGATGGGCCAGGAGCTCAGGACCAAAGGCAGCCGGCAGCTGTAAGGCTGGGCTGGCATGGTTCTGGTGGGACTAACGGCAACCCTCAGCCCAGGGAGCCTCACCCTCCTGATACACAGGGCTTTCCGGACCCTGCGCTATTGGGGTCCCGTGGAGGCTTCCTCACGCAGGCGTGGGGGAGCATTGCCCCCCTCTCCGTCCGGCTCCTCTCCCGGCTGAGGCGTGGGGAAGGGGCTGAGAGTTTGGAGTTTGTATCCAGTCTCAGTGCAGTCTCTCTGGTGACCAGCCCTCCTCTGGGAGCCACCCAGGAGCCCACCCACAGTCACCTCGTTAGAATGAGAGAGGAGCCTCGTGCTCTATGGCTTCAGAATCTCCAAGGCTTTCAGGAGCTCTGTGCCCTGGAGAGGCAGACCAGGAGGGGCTAAGGAGGCACCTTCTGGACCACGAACCTCACACACCTTACGGCAGGGCACCCTCCAACCCCAGAGTCACGTGCAGCCCGAGAGGCGGGCACGTCTCTTTCCACACCGAACCTGCCCCTCCTCCAGAGGGCGTTGCAGCTGGGCCTCTGTTGGAAGCAGCCTAAGAGGGTTTGCACAGGAGGAATGGACAGTAATTCACACCTGCTCCGCCGTCTTCTGAGGTCCAGCTCCTGAGTCACGTCCGCGAGGCAGGGTCCCGCCATAAGTGGAGGGTCATCCGACGGCCCTGGGCTAGGCCCAGGTCAGGCTCCTTGCAAAGCCCTGGGCAGGGAACTGACCGCTTAGAGACAGTGTCAGATGCTTTGCCAGAAAGTGAGCGGGTGGGACAGCCTGTGGGATGTTCTGGAGGCTCTCTGGCCAGCAAAGGTGCCTAAGGAGAAGCTGCATGAAGCCCGGGCCGGTGTGTGGCACCGGCACAGACACTGGGGCAAAGGTGCACCCAGATCTGCATCTGCCCGGACCGACAGCACCGAGTCCTTTGAAGTTTGGCTCCCGGGCTCCTGGCCCTCCGTGGCGGGGGCTTAAAGCACACAATGGTTTTGCAAACAGGCTGACGCACCTAGCTAGAGCCGGTTGTCCCCTCCGATACCAGCTCCTGTTTAAGGTCTTTAAGGACAACCCCAGGCTCCTGCACACACCTCCTGGTTCAGAGTGCTCTGGGGTCCCCAGAATCCCCGCCTCTGACTCCCAAAGTTCACCTGACCCTCAGGGCCTGCAGAGAAGATGGAGACAGGCCTGAAACAGCGCTGGGTGTCCCTTCTCCAGGACGGAGTGATCATCTCCGGCCAGGCTTACACCCCGTTCTTCCAGACACACCCTGCCAGCAGGCAGTTTGAGGGCTTCACTGGACTCCAAATTCTGATTATAGGGAGCCAGGCCCCACTCCATACTGTTGGGGTACCTGCTGGCTATAGGCAGGGCCCTCCCTGGGAGGAGGGACTGAAAACACCACCCGATGCCCCCATGGGTCATGCTTTCTGCCCACTATCTACACCCTGGAATAAAGCCCCTATGGGTGTAACGTTCTCCCTGCTCCCTGATGGAGCTAGTGCCCAGATCACGTGACATCCCTAACTCCTCCGAGATGTCCCAGGGCAAGCTGATTTAGTTAGCACTTGGGGAGCACTTCGTTTAAGAGGAGTTTTTCTTTCCACAAATCCCACTGCTTACGGGCACCTGGACCCTGGTGTTCTCAGGCGTTGTACCAGGAGGGACGTGAGATGATTCAAGAACACAGGCTTGTGATTTCACCCCGCTTCCTAATAGGCTTGGGCTTAAATGACCACTAAGCGTTGCCCCTGTTCTTTGGGGTGTGCCTGTACATATGTGTGCACACCTGTGTGTGTTTGTGCGCACGTCTTGGTATATGTGTGTATACATACATAGTGCATGTGTGTGTAGGTGTGTGTGTGCGTCCACCGTGTGCCTACATGGATTTGTGGGCATGTATATGCATATGCATACATATGCCTTTGTGTAGGTGTGTGTGTGTAGGTATGTATATTCACAGGCACATGTGTATTTGCATGCTGGCACACACTTCTCACCATGTCAGGTGGCCAGGGCTGATTCCTACACATCAAGTACACCTGGCAGTCAAAGCAGAGTTAGGATCTGGGCCAGAGAAGCAGGCAGGCTTGGCTCATTGTCTGGGTGTCCTGGAGATCTGTGAAACTCGGGGTTTTGGGGTTCAGGAGTGATATCCACAGCCAGTCATTTTTACTCTGGACATTTGCATTCAAACAGGATCAAGCACACAGCGAGGCTGAACTGACCAAGCCTCCCCATACCACTTAATATCAATGGCAGCAGGGCCCTTTGATTTCATCTCCTGCATCACACCTCCACAAACTCCACTCCTATGCGTGTTCATGTGCATGTGTGGGTACATGTGCATGTGCATATACATGCCTGCATGTGCACAGGTGTGGCTTGCTGGTATACACATGCTCTGAGTTCTGGATGTATTTTTAAAATAAGTCACGGCTAGAGCTGATGGCCCATCTGCTCCCGGCCTCTCCAGCTCTCAAGGGGCTGAGCTGAGTGGGGACGGGCCCAGCCCAGCTCCCACCACCACCACCTGGACCCACACAGAGCAGAGGCGCGTCGTCACGGCGGTTCCCGTGACGCCATGGCTCTTTTCGCTCAATTTATTTTCCTCCGACAAACACACGTGACCGTGGACTAGCTCTTGGTTCTAACAGGAGTTCTTTATCCAGGAGGAAAAGGGTTCCTTCGTTTTCTCCAGAGAATACATTTTTATGAAAAATAGCTTCGGATGGATGTATACAGGCCCACTTCGGAAACTCTTTCATCCTTGATGGCTCTAAAAACCCATTTTCAGCCGAAACAGGTTTGGCTCAATGGAGAGAGCGTCAGCTTGGGGACTGAAAGGTCCCGGGTTCGATTCTGGTCAAGGGCATGTACCTTGGTTGTGGGCATATCCCCAGTAGGGGGTGTACAAGAGGCAGCTGATCGATGATTCTCTCTCATCAATATCTCTAACTCTCTCTCTCCCTTCCGCTCTGTACAAAATCAATAAAATATATGAAAACCCATTTTCAGACAGAGCCATTTCGGAGACTTGATGCACCAACTAGCTTCCTCCCCGGCCTCGGCCAGATGGTGGCGCTCTTTCTCCAATTCTCCTCCAAAGGCTACCGACAGGCAAAGGAGAGGCTTGCAAAGTGCACTGAGCAGGAAAGGGAAGATGGAGGGCAGGTGAGTGGCCTGTGCAGGCGGCAACCCCGCAGCCCATGAGCCCAGGTCCTTTACTTCCCGGAGCAGTAGGGGGAAGGGGGAGAGGGGAAAGGGAAGGGGAGCAGGTAGAGGAGATGACAATCTATGCAGACTAGAGACAAAGGAACAGAAGGAGGCAGACAGTCACTTTCTCTTAGATTGTGGATATTTATCCCTCTCTTTTCACAGCAGCAACTTTAACAAACAAGTATGACGCCTGCAGCATTCGATCCAGAAGAGAGCGCCACGCAGACAGGCTCACGCACGCCCATTACAGAGTGATCTTCACGGAGCATGGCACACACAGTCAGTTTCTGGGACACAGGCTTTGGAAGTCTAAGTTAGCTGCTCCCCCTCCCCCGGCTCCTATAGACCAAAAATACCTCTATCCTCAGCTACAGAAACGTCGTGAGTAGCAAACTTGTAAAAATGAAGAGTACAAAAGGAACGTCCATAGAACATATTTGCACCCTGTATTCAGTGTATCATCCTTGAAACTGGCCGGTGGTCAGCTATGGCAGATTGTCAATGATAGAAAAAAGACCCCAACACCTGTCACGTGCACTCGAGTCGATGGTCTGTGAGGTTTTCCAGAGAGGTGCTCAGCTCCCAGTGACAGTGCTCGCCGATGGTCTTCGTGTGTGATGGTTAGTCTGTGGTACATTACTCGCCGATGGTCTTTATGATCAAGAAGCCAGTTTTGAATTTCCCGGCATTTAGGAAAACAAGTAACGTCCGATTGTCACAACATACAGCTCCGAGACAATAAATACAAGCAGATCAGATGCGTTTCTTCATTGTTATCAAGTAACTCCAGTTTAATACAATTTAGTGCATTTCAGTATCTCATTCACAGTTTTGACTTCTGTCCAAGTGCTTATGCAACAAAAGGTTAAGAAACGAAAGGTTAGGGGGAAAGAAAATTCCAGGTGGACTTTGCCATTACAATGCTTAAAAATTGAAAAGCGGTCCAATCGTCTTTGAAAAGAATGCCTGGCTGCCACAGGGGCTGACGGGCGTCAGCGTCTCTGGGAATTTTCCGGACTCCCTGAAAGTGGTCGTGTCCTTGAATTCCCCGAGTGGTGAGTGAGAAGGCCACCATTGTCACTGAGATCAGCCAGTGGGCAAATGCTTGTGCTGAAACGTAATTCACGTGTGTCCACTCCTCAGTCACACAGACATCTGCCCAGAAGCTGTCCCTGTGTTTTTGTGTCTGGCCCTGATATGCAAGAATGTGAAACCCGGATGTCTGCATGCACCTGGCAGGCCGAGCAGGGTCTGGGACGAAGCCTGGCCCAATGCGAGTGGGTGGGATGGCCAGGAGTGTGTGTGGGGGTGAGGGTGGGGCACCCAGGCCCAGGTGTTCGGAGAGGCTGGCCCTTGCTTTGGGAGCAACCCACTACACAAAGGGGCAGGCACGTGGGCCAGGGACGTGCTGACTCCAGAGAGAAGGCAGGTGGGCATGGTGAGCCCGCTGTTCCAACCCTCAGCCTCGGTAGACGGCAGGAGGGCTGGGAGCCACGGCACACCATTGGGCGCTAAGGGTTGCATGCTGGGGGAGCATGCACTACTGGTGAGAAGTTCGCGGCATGAGTCACGCTCGGGGTTGAACAATTCGGCTGAAAATCAGCCGGGCTGAAAGATTCTATTTGGCTTATCCTATAAGTGTCTCGGGCAGAGACAAAGCAACATGCAGAGAGTGACTCCTCCTTTACCCCAAACCTGACACAACCCGCAGTCACAGCCCCTGACCTACACGTGACAGCACCCCCCCCCGCCTCCCTGCAGGCCAAACCACGCTCTGTACGTTAGCGGAAGGAGGTTCTCTTGCCTTGGCACACCGGGGGGTGACAGGGACACACAGGCAGATTCAGACGCGATCGGTGGCCGCACCTGCACTGTTTCTGTACAGAGAAGTGCGGTGTCCATTGTTGCTTTGTGATGTGTTGTGGTTTGTACATTCAGAGCTCATCGCTTCACACGGATCCTGTGCTTCTGGAGGACCGGAGCTCCAGGGCCCCTCCAATGGGGCCGAGCAGCCAGTGCTGTCACCAAGCACGGGGCGGCCTGCCCCTCTGCTTTCTCTGGTGAAAATGCTTGTCAATGGGCAGCTATTCCAACCCCCCCAGCGGGCCTCCACCAGGTCTGGAGAAAAGGAGGGCAGACGGAAAACGAGCATTCACAAATCGATGCTCGCCCTCTGCCCAGCTGTTCCCCAGTCCCTGCTTACGGTGCTGTGGCAAGGACCCCAGAGAGGGAAGCCAGAGAGTCCCCCGGTAGCTGCTGCTACAAAGTCACCCTGGAAATAGCACAGTCACCCTAGAAGCCCCTGGACACCCCAGAGGGGCCCAAAGACCTGCGACCGCCCCCAGCCAGACACATGGGGAAGGCCCACAGGCCAAACTCCACGTACCAGGCAGGGGCCGGATACAGAGGTGGAAGAGGACATGGGACTTGGAAACGTGCACCTGAGAGTGGGGCCTTGGCCTGAGCTGAGAAACATGCAGCCAGCGACCCCTCGGCAGGAGCAGGGGGCTGGTTCCCAGGCACAGAGCAAGTGGCAGAGCCTACCCGAGAGTCAGCAAACACTCCCCCAGCAGCGAGGGGCAGCAGACCATCCCCCATCAGGGAGGGGCAGCAGACCATCCCCCAGCAGAAAGGGGCAGCAGACCATCCCCCAGCAGGGAGGCGCAGCAGACCATCCCCCAGCAGGGAGGGGCAGCAGACCACCCCCAGCAGGGAGAGGCAGCAGACCACCCCCCAGCAGCGAGGGGGCAGAAAACAGCTCCCGGCCTTGACTGACCCGGGACCGCCCTTTATGCCTGGAGAGCACACCACAACTGCAACCAGCAGGGCCTGTCCCACCCTCAGCCTGAAGGTGACATGGCACCATCAGCAGCAGATGGCACTCAGTAGCGGGTGTAAAGGCAAAGAATAAAGAAAAGCACAATTCTGCAATTTATTAATTTAAGGTAAAAAATTAAAAGGGCTCCCCTCCCAAGGGGCTCCGTGTCCAATGCACGAGCTGATCCACATTCAATCGGGAGGAATCACTGAGATTGGAAACCTACGCCCTGGTCTCAGGCTCCATTTACAGGAGTCTGCACGGCTCATTCATTGCCTAGATGTAGAATTCGCATGTTCTAAATTAATTTCAGGGGAAGGGGGCTTAGCTGGGAAACCAAGACTATTGATTAAGCGGTAAAGGATCTAAATCTGCATCTTCCTGGTGGGGCTCTGTCCATAGGACCCTCCCTCTGGTTCCCTTTAAGCTGATTTAGGCATTTGTGACATAGCCAATGACATGGATGAACACGCATGAAGACAGGTGAGTAGCGTGGGATGGAGACAAATCAACTCTCAGGTGGCCGCTGGCCCTGAGGGGGCAGGGACCGTGCTTCAGGACAGAGGCGAGCGTGTGCAGCTCTGAAACAAAAGCGTTTTGAACTGTTTTGAATCTTCAGCCCACAGGAGCTGCACCCACTCGCCCTGGGACACGGGAACTGGAGTGCCCATCTCTGCACGGCCCCCAAACCCAAACCTCAGGAGGCATCGTTGTTACAGAGCACTGATGCCAGCCTGACAAACCTTCCCCAATGCAAATGTAGGGCCAGTACGTTATTCTTCTTTCAATTCAGCTTCTAATTCCTCTTATTCCTCTTTCCTCTGCTTTTCTAGAAAATGCAACCTGACTCTGTTCGGAATGCTGCTTACAGTGTGTCAGAGATAATACCCATTAGTTTTCTTTCCTTGCTAAAAAAAAAAAAAAAAAAAAAAAAAAAGAGGCGGGAAATGTGACTTTAAAAAAAACCAACGTGAAGGTTTAAGAAGAAAATCCAAAGCAGCTGTGTGCGGTGGGATGGCTGAGCGGAGCCGGGGAGGCGGGAGGAGCCCTGGTTCCCACTCCGTCTGCCCAGCAGCTCCCGCCGGCCAGGCTCCATCTGCGGGATCAGCCTCCCTCCAGGGCCCCGCCTGCAAAGGCTGCTGGGAGGACGTAAGCCAAGCACAGGCTGAGGGGACCCGGGGAGACACTCCACCGGCACCTGTGGGTGTGGGCACCGCCAGGCCAAGTGGCCATCCACCTGATCAGAAGCAGGCCCTGGCCAGTCAAGTGTGCCTGCTCAGGGCCGGGAGGGCGATGGGATGGGGGAAGGCTCGCCGCGGCTCATTTTCATCAGGGAGTTGAGAGCCACCGACAGATCAACTGTGAAAATGGCATCTCTAGAGGCTAACAGGCCCTGTGCTAACAGTCTCCAACTATCTTAGAAGACAGACTGGGAGGGACACTGCTTCTTAAGAAGCATCACGGGTCCTGGGGCTGTGGGGAGAGGACACTGACCCAGCAGAGGGACCACAGGGGAAAGGGCCGCGGAGCTACATTCACCGCACCGACACCCTCAGGGACTCACACCCAGGCTTAGGGAGGAGACGGCACAGCATCCACCCGACACCCCGTGTGTGCTTATCACCCAGAGCCCTGTCTCCCCGGTGCCCGACCACCCAGCTCCCCACCCTACTGTCCGGAAGCCAAGATGCTGGTTGCCTTGGGGACCAGAGAGGCTGTGACATCTGCACCCAGGAGGCCTGGGGGAGAGTCTGAGGAGAGTTTGTTGGGGTGCGGGGAGCGGCGAGGGGCCAGGGCGTTCCCAAAATCACAGGTACAAACGGAAAAGGGACCCGAGTTTAAGAAGAGAAAGCGTCAGAGGCTCTCTCTGGCCAGCAGAGTCCTTGAGCAACGGCGCTGGGGGAATCCCGGACCCGGGGCCACCGCCCAGAGAGGACGCCGCCCTCCGTGCCCCGTCTCCCACAGCGACGGGCGGCCCTGCAGTGGGGCGCTGCGAAGGCTCCATCCGGCAGGCTCTCTCATTTCTTTACTCTTGGCTCAAGTTTATTGGTTAATATTAGTCACCAGTTAATAAGAAAATAGTTTCTAAGTGTCTTTTTTTTTTTTTTTTCCTCTGTGTGTGTGGTTCTGGTTTTAATTGAGTTAATCGGACACCACCATCAAGGTAAGTGTGTTCAATCACAGCCATTAATTATTCCTTTTTCTTAAATTCTTGGTTCCCGTAGCTGGAGCCTTTCTCTATTTCAGTTACTCCTATTAGTCGGCGGACTCCAAAGGAAGCTTTAAAACAGGAGAAAGGTGGGTTAGATGGATCGACTGGGAAATCATTGTTGGGAGGCCAGACCCCTCCCGCCCGCCCTCTACCCCTGCATGCCCAGTCCCCGCGGAGCAGGTGGCTCCCACAGCAGAGCAGCTGGAGCCCGCGCTGAGGCCCCGAGGCCTTGCCTGGATCCCGGTTCCTCGATGCCTCCCGAGCACCGTGGTGGTCTGCAGGCTTGGGCACCCCCATGGGGCACGGCAGGCCCGGGGCGTGAGCTGCAGCAGCCTTCATGTTCCTTACCTGCCCCGACGAAGCCCAGGAACGTGAGGATGAGAAGGGGAGAGCCGCTTGCAAAGACGCCCAGGACAAAGCTGAACAGCGGAGACAGGAGAACCGTAGCCCAGAAGAGGAAGTTGAGGAGTGTCCACGGCCGGCGGGCAGGTCTGAACGGCTCCCCCGGAAACACGCCCTTCTCGTTATACGTCTCCTGCAGAGCGTCCTGCGAGAGCCCATAGGAAGAGCGCTGTCATTACATGCTGTGCTCATACCCCGAGAGCACGCGGGGACGGAAACACTGCTTCTCCTGGCAAGCACCCTGGGGATTGGAGAATCGTGCGCTGTGGGCCCACAGACCTTGGCTGTTTGTACCAAAAGCTTGTAAAAACACCTGTGCCAGCCGGTGTGGCTCAATGGTTGAGCATCCATTTATAAACCAGGAGGTCATGGATTAATTCCCGGTCAGGGCATATGCCCAGGGTGGGCAGGAAGCTTGGCTTCCTCCATTGACAGGACAACCCAAGCCTCCTGCTTTCTCCAGCTCTGTGGCTGGTCGCCATCTTGGTTGGGTTAATTTGCGTATTTGCTCCTGATTGGCTGATGGGCATGACTTGTGGGTGTAGCTGAGTGATGGTTAATTTGCATGTTTCCCTTTTATTAGTGTAGATTATGTTTCATCTAAGTTTTCAAATGTGTGAGCATAAAGCATATTATTTTCACTCTCTGCTCTTTGGTTGGGTCATCTTTTTTATTCCTATTAATGTCATCACTCTTTGTTAATTGGTCAGTCTTGCCCAAGGCTTTCTATTTTATAATAGTTTTAAAGGAAAAGCTTTTGGTGCTGTTGATTCACTCTTTTGTAGCTTTTCTTCTGGTGTAAATCATTTATGCTATATTTATTTGTTCTCCTCTGGCTTTACTATGTTTTGTGTGTACATGTGTGTGCATGTATAATGTTGTGTGTGGTTATTAAGAGGATAGAATATGTAATACTTTAAAAAATTCTGATACATAGTAAGAGATATATCTCTGATAACCTCCTGGTCATTCCTTTGTGGGTAGTATGTCTTTTCTCTCTGGTGATTCCAAGATCTCCTTTTGTCTTTGGTGTTTTGGAATATCACTGCCAAGCAGAGATGAACTTCTTTTCCTTTATATTTTATCTCAAACTGTACTTCATGAACCTATTGAAATCTATGTCCATCAATTCTAGCAGTTTTATGGTTATCAGCTGTGACATCTGCCCTTCACCATTCCTTCTACTTTCTCTGGACCTTTTAACAGTTACCTACTGGACCTCTCAGTCTATTCTCTATACATTTTAGCCTTCTTTTCATAGTTACACTTCCTCTGGGCTGCATTCTGAGTAATTTCCCCTAAATCTTTTCTACTCACTTCTCTTTAGCTGCATCCCATCTGGTATTTAATCTGTTAAGATTTTACTATCAGTGACGAGATTTCTCATGTCTGTAAATTCTGCTTGGTTTTTCCCAAATCTGATTCATTTTTTCCCATAGGTCTTGCTTTTTTTCTTTCCAGTTCCTTCTTTTGTGCTTAATCATTTCAAAAATACTGGTTTTAGTCTCTGTCTGATAGTTCCCTTCGCTGAGGTTTTTGGAGGGTTTTGTTTTTCTGTCTGTCTTGCCCATGATGGATTTTGGCTCTGAGTTCACCTCCAGCACAGTTTTACCTGAGCTAATCATGGACAGCTTAGGTTTGGAGTCATGTCCTTCCAGTTTTGCCCATGCTTCTCCCAGGAACTCCAGAGAGATTTGCCTGGAACCACTTTTTATGTTATATTTTCTCTTTGTTCTTGAACTATGTTATGAGTGTAAATTCAAACCCCAAACCTGTTTGCAGGCAGGCTTGTGATTGTGACTTACCAGGGGGACTTTTTGAGACCAAGAAAGGAAAGCTCAGTCATTTCCCTGTGCTGGAAGGTCAATGTTTTTAGTTTAACTTTTCTGAGGGTAAAGCTCTCAGAGGGCTCCAGCTTCAAGTAGCGTTTCCAGTTCCAACTTCTGCCTTGAATAACGTCAAACCCTTGCCTTCTGTTTCCAGGCGGGCAGACTTTGAGTTAAGGAGACCAGCAAACTCCACCAAGAGAATGTGGCTGTGTCAGCCCCAGGCTTCCTACAGGTCTCAGTTCCATCTTTTTTTTGTTAATCCTCACCCGAGGATATTTTTCCACAGGTTTTTAGAATGGAAGGGAGCGGGAAAGACACAGAGAGAGACATATTAATTGATTGCCTCCAGCAGATGCCCCAACCAGGGTTGAGGATTGAGCCTGCAACTGAGATATGTGCCCTTGGAGGGAATCGGACCCGGGACCTTTCAGTCCAAGGGCTGATGCTCTAACCACTGAATAAAACTGCCTAGGGCATCCATCTCCTTTTTTTTTTTTTATTCCTAGAGACTTCCCTTATTTTTTGCAAGCTCATCAATGCATTTATTATTTTATAACAGTATATAACAAAAATATTTATTATATACTGAAAGGATTTTTTGATTATCTAAGCCTCCCTCAGAAAACAAAAATCTAGTGTCCTGGATATTTGTATATGTAAAATAAAACAGAATTAAGAGTCAGGAATGAGGCATGTCATGCGAGAATGGAGGTGGGGCTGGGTGTGATCATATGAATCTTGTCATCTATAGTGTGTTTCTTCTTGCAAACCATATATATACACATATGTACATGTTATATATCTATAATTTCTTTTACATGAAAAAATGGAACAAATGTGATCAATTATTATCCGCCATAGTTACATAAGCACTGTTACCCTTATATTTTCCTCTAGTTTGTTAATTTCTCAAAAGTTGAGAAAAAATGAAAGAAAAGAATTAGAAAGAAGCATTTGGGAACTCCTGCCTCACAGGGAGCCGGCCTACCAGCTGCCGCCCTGAGAGCCGGGTAGCTCGCCTTTACCTTCTCCTGGTACAGCTTGTGGAGCCACTGGGCCGCTTCCTTCTCATCCTGCGGGATCTCTTCCAGAGGGAACCTCCTGTTTCGTGAAGAAGAGCAAGAGCAAGGTGAATGCGTAGGTGACAGCAAACTGAAAATGGGGGAACACCTGTGCATCGGGGAGGCCTGCTAGCCTGCTCCTGCTCAAACTCACTTCCCCAAAACACACAAGCATCCAAGTCACTTCTCCTTGGGTGTCCCCCAGAGGTGGCGTGGGCTCTGCGGGCATGCAGGGGGCGCTGCAGAGGGGGCCAGCCGTATCTACGTTCATGGGATAGGGGGAGGTTGTCACAAGGGGTCCCCAGGAGCTGTGCGGTGAGCAGGCCGTGCCCCAGCTCCCCTGCGAAGGGTGACCCTGTATTAACCTCAGCAGGAGATTTGGTCTCTCTTATCGGTTCGCTCTTTGGAAATAATTAGGACTTGGAGTCTTTTATTAGGCAAAGAAGATTGTGTCTTTCACAAATGAAATCTACTTGCTTCAAATATGAAAAACAACAGAGGTTTAGAACTTTAATCTCAATGAGCAAACAGCTGACTTTGGTTAGGACACGAACTTATTTATAAGCCTAATCACCAGCTAGATCCCCAGCCCCGTGAGAAGAGGTGTCCACCTGGAAGCTTAGCAGGACAAGAACCACTTTCTTTTGTTTATCCTCGCCTGAGGATATTTTTCCATTGGTTTTTAGGGAGAGTGGGAGAGAAAGGGAAAGGCAGAGAGAAACATCAATGTGAGAGGAACACATCCATTAGTTGCCTCCTGCACACACCTCGAACAGGGGCCCTGACCAGCCTGCAACCGAGGTACATGCCCTTGACCAGAATCGAACCCAGGACCCTTCCATCCACAGGCTGACATTCTATCCACTGAGCCAAACCGGCTGGGTTGAAGAACCACTTTCACAGCAACTGTTGTGCTTCAAGATCACCAGCACACCTGAGCTAGAATAACTCACCACAAGGGCCCGCTGCCCACTTCAGAGGGGCCCACAGTGAGAGGAGAGCCAGGTGAAGGGTCATGTCCTATTTTAAGATCTCTCAGACTTTTTGCTCTAAACATTGAGAATTTGGATATACGTGGGTTATGCCTGCAACCCAGATATGTGCCCTTGACTAGGAAGCAAACCTGCACCCCTTTGGTGCATAGGCCAATGCTCTGACAACTGACCACCAGCCACATCTGGATGGTATTTTCTTTAAAAGCTGTGCTGGTCAAGCTCTCCAGACGGCAATGCAGAGGCCTGTCTGAGCCTTGGTCAATCACACTGGCCAGGATGGTGACGGAGTCGCTGTGGTCAGATAGCAGGCCAGGGCGCTAACACAGAGCCTGTCTGTGTGGTCTCTACACCAGGGAAGGGCCAGCCTCTGGGGAAAATCTCAATGACACGGGGGGGGGGGGGGGTTGGTTTACTGGCCGTTCAACCGGGGAGACCCAGACAGGAGATGGCCATGGAAGCCCTGCCTGGGCTTCTGTCCTGAGCTGGAATCAAAGTCACAACACCATTTTACTAACAGTGTAATCTCCACTGCTTTAAATTTAAAAGGTGTTTTGGGGATCAATTATCTTCTCTTCATGAGCCAGAGACACTTGGAGAGTCAAAGCTGACCATGAGACATGCAGTCGCCATCCGAGGACCACTCTCCTGGTCGCGGACCTTGATCTTGTGCGAATGAAGGTCACTCCCGGGAGAGGCCCCGCCTGCCTCTCAGAACAAAGCCCAGCTCAGCACGGACACCTGGTGCCTCCCTCTGTCGCGTCTCACTGGCTCCGGGAGCCGCTCGGTGTGAAACCCAAGACAGACGCTCCTCCCTTGGATTTCTACAGACTCCGATCCCTTAAATTCTGGGGCTGAAATCACGGGTGCCAACAAAGGCCACAGAAATATGGCATCAAGCCCGGGGTCAGGGGAGCCGTGCGCTGGGGCTGGGACGGCCCGGTGGGGGGCACCAGGCAGGGTGGGGTGCCCACCGGGCACGAAGCTCACCTCAAACACATATCCGCCTCGTACTTCTTCCCGTAGAGGATCCCCAGCAGAGACGGGTTCTTGTTTCCCCGGAAGTTCAGAGTGACATCGTAGATGGCTGCGACTGCGGGGGCCAGGGTGCAGGGTGAGCCGGGCTGCCGCTCACCCCTCACCCCGCACAGAGCCCAGCAGCTGTCACGCGGGTCATGTTCTCTTTGCCGACTCCCCACGTTTGGATGGGCATTTAACTGACCACACCTCCTGTGCTCACTGATTGCTTACTGGCGTGCTGCATCTAAATCCACTCTCTGCCTCTTCTAACTGCTCTCTGCCCCTCTCTTTCATCTTGCCTCTTCTGGGGTAAGATATATATATATTTTCCCCTTTATAACGTTTTCAGTTTTATACTTTTTGATTATTTTAGTTACTTTCCCACTAACTAGCATTCTATCACCTCAGAAAGGATATCAGGATCTTACAACGTGTTAACTCCGCTCACACGGTCCTCCCTTCTCTATCCTGTAGCTTACATGAGCTTATCATACATGTGATTCTCTCATGTGGCGTTTGACCGCTGTCACCTCTCGCTCTGCGTGGAGCCCGGGGACCAGCGTCCCGGCTCTGGGCTGGGCTCTTACCTGTCCCGCGCAGGCACTGGACCGCGGTGGTGAAGCCCTTGGTGCGAGGCAGCAGGTGGTGCTTGAGGGGGGGCAGCCCCTTGGAGGCGGCCACCTCCATGCTGACGCGGTGTTTCTTCTCGGTGAAGCGCGTGCCCTCGCAGTACAGGAGGAACTGGGAGGACACAGGGGCAGGGGCTCGAGGGGCGTCCGGGCACAGGGAACCGGACGGGCAGCGAACGCCTGCTGTCCGATCGGCGGGAATGACAGCGCTGCTCCAGGGACGGGCACTTGGAAATGTCCTTTTATTTTAGGGTTACAACCTGCCCTAAAGTCCTCCCCCACACACAGTCCCTCCCCAGCAGCCAACAGCATGGCGCTTATTCTCAGAGCAACAGGAAGGAGGACACGTGGAGGCCCCGGGCAGCACAGTCTGGTTGGAGTGGAAAACACACGAGGTAGAAACGCTCAGTGAGGAGGCAGCTCTGAGGCCAGAAAGAAGGCGCGACGGGGACACAGATCTGAACCGCCTGACACCGTGACTCCAGGCGGGTGTCGTCAAACGCATCTGAGGGGCTTGGAGTCCCCACCCCCCACCCCCCACCCCCCCCACCCCCGGCTCCGGGCCCTGGCTGCTGCTACAGGTGGTGTCCCGGGTCCCCTGTCCTGTGTCACGTGTCCTGTGACTCATGTCCGCCCTGAGGGATGAACTCACCCAGACCTGCAGGTCACTAGGGGTCGCTCTGGAGCCACCTCTAAAGAAGGCCCTCCCTGCAGAGGGGGCTCCTGGGCCTGCGCTGCCTGGGCACCCACTCCTCTCAGGGGACCCCACTCTGCTGTGCAGGGAGGTGCCGTCCTCCCTCCCGGCTCTGGCTCTCAATGGGGGCAGGAGGAGCATGTGGCCCCTAGGCCCTGCTGTGAGTCGGCCTGGCCTTCCCACTCGTGATGCAGGTCACGGTCATACGTGTAAGGTGGCACCAGCCAGCGCAGCCTCCCGGCCAGGGCCACGTGTGTGCACGGACTCACCCACATGTACTCAGGGTAGTCGGCCAGGCGCTTCAGGCCTGCGATGACGGTGTCCCGGTCCTCCTCCCACTTCCTCTTGCAGAACACGATCTCCAGGAAGTACCACGTCCAGCCGATGAGGGGCACGCACAGCAGCTCCCTCTTGGCCAGGACCTTGGAGCTCTGCGGGGAGGAGGGACAGGTAGTGCGCTCTCGGCCGGAGGTGCCCTGGGCGCCCCGGGCCTGGCGTGGTGGTCGTGACTACACTGTCCACAGGGGCACCCTGACCCTGAGTGTGGGCCACTGGGACCAGCTTGACCCGAGAGCACAGGCGTGCCTGAGGAAACCAGGGCACAGGCCTGGCAGAGGGAGGGTGCCCAGGACGCAGCCACGGGAACTGGCGGCAAGGCCGGGCCTTCCGGAGGAGGACGGGGATGCCACCCACAGTGCCCACCGTGGTGGGAGCCCTGGGCCTGGCTCGGGATATTCACACTGCACCGGGCACCGGCTCACTGAGGCTCTGGGGACTCACAGGGTAACAGTAAGGCTTAGGAGAGGAGAGGCGGGACAGCCGACCTCAGGAGGCCTGGGCAGCCTCCATCGAGGCACCTGAGGCCAGCCATGTGCCCGACCCCCAGCTCAGGGGCCAGGAGCTAAAAGGGGAGGGGAGGAAGCCCAGGCCCCAGAGAGCCAGGCCAGCACCGCCCTGGGCCCCCCACATCACTCACCCCCAGGACCCCGAACCGCTCACACATGGTCCACCCGCACAGGAAGTCGATCTCGAAGTTGTGGTTGAGGATGATGACGGCGTGCTCCTTCCCCAAGCGGTCGATGGTGGCCTGGTCGGCGAAGAGCGTGCACTGCGTGCAGGACCACCACTCCAGCAGCATGACCAGCTCTGCGGGCACACGGAGGGCAGGGCGTGGGCACGCAGCCGCGCTCCGGCCCGCCCCCTCGGGGCGGGAGCCCAGGCCAGGCCCAGCTCCGCCGCCCGCGGGCGGGGCTTCTCCAGGATTCCATCCCGCCTGCGCTTCTGGGCTACACATGGGTTCGGGTGGCTTACACTTAATAAAATAAGTTTTTCCTAACTTGTGATTACCTTCTCTAAGCAAAAGTTGGGGAGAAGACAAATGAAACTGCCAGAAAGTAGCAGAAAAAGAATCAGGAAAACTCGCATGTTAGATAGTGATCTTGTGTCCAGTCAATATTTCCACGTGTGCTGTGGGTTTTGGGAATAGCGCCCATTTCATCCACAGAATGGGGGGAGGGGTGGGTGTGAGCACAGCCAGCCGGATCCTGTGGTCAGCAGCTTGGCTGAGTGGGCGGCGGCACGGCAGGACACACAGCACAGCCCGCTCCTTCTGTGCTGAGCCCCAGCCTCTCTGTTTTCCAAGGGCACCGACCCTTGGGGATGGAGGCCAGGGAACGCTTCCAAGACAGCCCAGTGGTTGGAGCCGGGGCTCCGAGCCTCAGTTTCCCCATTTACAGAAAGGAGATAAGAGTGGCTTCCTGGGGGGTTGAGGACAAATATGTGATACCTTAATCAATAAAGAAATTAATTTTTTTTAAAAAAGAGTGGCTTCCTCACAGGGCCACTGGGAGAACAGCATGTGACATGAACTCCATTTCACAGCTTTTGTCTGTCCATCTGACAGCCCAAGATTGATTGATTTCGTATGTACAAACACAAGGGCACAGGTAACAGACATGCACGTCCGCACACAGGTACGTGACTCAGAGAGGTGACATAAGCAGGTGGGATGACAGGCCCCGAGAGAGGGGGAGGGTGCCCAGGAGCAGTGGGACGGACTGGCAGCTGCGAGGGCTGCTATTGGTGAGCTGAGTTTCTATTTCCAAGTCCCAAAGCTAAACCTCACACAGCTGCCACCGCTGCAGGCCCCAGGCCAGGGTCGGAATGCCACCTCTCGCCTCATGGCAAGTGTGGGTAGAACGTCTCTGCACACGCCCGTGAGTAACCCCCCCGCCTCCTGAGGGCCGCCCAGCAGCAGGCCCAGCGGTGCGCGGTACTCACGGCTCCAGAGCGAGTAGGCGAGGCGGCAGTTGAGCCGGCGGTACAGCTGCTTGTTCAGGGGCCACAGGACGAGGGTGCAGAGCTGGATGAAGTTGATGACCAGCCCGCTCACCACGAAGACGAACCCGATGAGGAGGTGCAGGACGAACTGGGTCTTCAGGTAGGCGAGCAGGCCCATGGTCACTCCTCAGTAGCGAGAGCAAGGTCCTTCACTGAGAACAGCCGTCCTGGAGGGACAGGGACAGCAGTCAGGGCGTGAGCCAGGGCCCAGAGTCCAGAGCTGCAAGCGGAAGGGAAGCCCATGGTCCCCACCTCAGAGCCCAGGTCTGCAGCCTGAGGGGAAGGGGCTCCCCAATGGCAGGCTCAGGAGCTTCTTCAGGTCAGCACAGGACATACAGGGACCCGGCACGCAGCATCTATCCATGCGTCACACATACTCACACCACACATCACACACACACACACACACACACATGCACCACACATCACACACACATACACACCACATACACATACACATACATGAGCCACACATACCCAGGCACGTAAGAAAGGAAGAAGACTAGAAGAAATGCACCCAAATATAAATAGTGATGATCTCTAGGTAAAGGCATTGTGGGTAATTTCAACTTTTTTTTAGCATCGTATTTTAAAAAATTAAGTTGCACATGAAATAAAACACATGACTGCCTTTTAATTCCCAGGCTGTTGTGCACCTTTTTAAGCTAAAAGGCTATTGTTTTGGTTTCTAACCCAAAAGCGCCAACTCCTCCAAGAACTTAACTGGTGTTTCTCCCCTTCTCTCCAACGTGCAACTCTTAGCTCTGAAGGCGAAGCCAGAGCTCGCATTTTGGGGTTGTGCCTGCTCTGGGTGCTGCCCGTCAATTCCCCTTGTGAGGAGAGAGACAGGGAAGCTGTGACTCAGGCCCTGGCGAGTCCCAGCTGGCATGTGACTGTGCTGCGTGCACCCGGCTGAGCGCCCTGCAGGCCTGCCCCTGCCGCACTTGGCGAGCTGAGCGCGCCCGGGACCAGCAGCCCAGCCCCGGGCATCCCTGTGCCTGGAGAATAACTGACTGCCAGAAACGGGTTTCCCAGGCCGACTCATAGAGAGGGGTCCTTGCCTGGCTGGCTCAGGGGAAGCAGCTGTCAGGGGAGGGCACTGGAGCAGGGGGGGGGGCTGGATGGGGAGGGAGCCAGACCTGTGCCAGGAGAGAGGCCAGCATGAACGCTGACCCTCAGGCCCAGACAAGCCTTCAGATGCCCGCAGCCCATGAGCACCGCCCTGTTCAGCCAGGCCTGCCAGCAGGGGTGACCCTGAGGAGCCGAGGGCGATGAAGGCCTCGTGCTGTCTTACAGCACCGTGCGGGGGACACTTGTTACGCAGCATCAGAAAACAATCCGTTACTCTAATGCCGTGGTCGGCAAACTGAGGCTCGCGAGCCACATGCGGCTCTTTGGCCCCTTGCGTGTGGCTCTTCCACAAAATACTATGGCCTGGGCGAGTATCTGTTGAAGAAGCGGCCTTAGAAGAAGTTTAAGTTTAAAAAATTTGGCTCTCAAAAGAAATTTCAATCGTTGTCCTGTTGACATTTGGCTCTGTTGACTAATGAGTTTGCCGACCACTGCAATGATTATAGTAACTAACGGACCCTGACAACACCCACTTCCACCAACAGCAGACAAGACTCCACAGACAGATGACTATAACGTCATAATTTCAATATTGCAGGTTCTTGGCCTCTAACCTCCCTGTGTTACATCTGGGGAAACTGAGGACCAGAGGGCCTGCAGCTCAGGACGGGTGAGGCCACGGTGAGCCCTTGGCCACAAGCTGCTCCTGATTTCTGTGTCTTACGCGTGAAGACGGGGTTCCCTTGAGAAAAGGCCTGGACCCCAGCCCTTCTCCTCCCCCATCACGTGACCCTGGAGGATAGCCTGGGAGGCCCCGCACCGTGGGGAAGCCTCTGCTGCTGCTGTACCTGAGAGGAGAGCCAGGCCAGGCCCTGAAGGCGGGACAGCCAGCCCACCCGCCCACATGGTCTGCTCATTAATGCTCAGACACCATCCTCAGAGACGGTGAGGAAACCTGAGCCTGAGCCGTTTCTAAGTCCCGTCGGTAGATAACAGGCTTAGGTTGTTCAGGAGCCTGGCACCTGCGCTGCCTTCTCCCCGGCTGAGGTGGCTGCCTCCTGGGTTCTGTGGCCCCTGTACAAGCCACTAGGACCCCAGCTTCTCAGCTGCATGATCACCAAAGGGAGATACAGGGTGGTGTCACCCCCACTCACAAACCCCCACCCCCTGGGGACAGGCCTGGCCACTCAGAGAGGGGGAGTGAGCCAGGTGGCTCAGCAAGGCCGAGCTAAAAATAGTTTTACAACAGGTAAGCCTCACAGGCCCTGAGGCACGGCTCCAGGAAGCCAGTGAGAGTCCCAGTCAGGCAGGAAGGGCTGGGCACCAGACCCAGACCTCCCAGCTGCAGCGCCTCTGAGCAGTGGGACCCTCCACGGGCCGATGCTGTCCCTCCAGGTACTTCTGATAATTCTGCACCCGTGGCCCCTGTCACCCACTGCTCCTTCTCAAGGCCAGCGGTGAAGGGGAGAGCTGGGATTCAGGAGCCCTGGCCATTCTCAGACCTGACCCTGGCACCTCATTACGGGTGAACTGTGTCCCCCAAAAAGAAACACTGGGACCCTAACTCCAAGGCCTCAGGATGTGGCTGTAGGTGGGAACGTGGTCTTTATAAAGGTAACCGAGTTAAATGAGGCCACTGGTGAGGGCCCTAATCCCATTGGACAGATGTCTTTCTAAGAGGAGATGAGGACAGGCTCAGAGGGGCGCCCATGTGAGGACACGGGGAGAGGACAGCGTCCATAAGCCGAGGAGAGAGACCTCGGGGGAACCAGACCTGTGATGACCATGATCTCAGCCTCCAGCCTCCAGACTGTGAGGAATGAATCTCTGTTGCTTATGTCGCCGCCTGTGGTACCGTGACAGCGCCCCATCAAAGGAATTCACTTCTTTTTAGCACTCAGGCCTTTCCCAGGAAGAGCACAGACCCCTCCCATGTCCTCTGTAAACTTGGCCCTGCTGCTCAGGTGGCCCACAGCCTGGCAGTGAACCCTGACCAGGCCTCGCCCTGCTCAAGGGTGAGCCCGTCCCCTGCCTAGGAGTCCATCACCAGATGCCCATGGGACCCTCTCCCCAGCCCTGGCCCCTTTGGCGCTCTCAACCTCAAGAACTAGCTGGTCAGATGGTCTGACCTTCAGAGAGCCTCCTGAGGGTCTCTGTGGAAAGCACATCTTTTCCACAGAAATGGAAAAGGAAGTCGCGTGCCCACCACCTCCGCACTAGCCAGCGTGTGGCCAGGCGTCTCCATGGCTTCGCTCAATGCAGAGAAGGTAATGGCTTTCTCTGCATGGGAAGGACGGCTCTTTCATTTACATGCGAGGTCAATGTCAGCCCTTCCATGTGGGTGCCGTTCATGCCTCTGCCAACTGCGCGTCAATCAATCAGACAGCGGGAGAGCCAAAACCGGTTTGGCTCAGTAGATAGAGCGTCGGCCTGCGGACTGAAAGGTCCCAGGTTCGATTCCAGTCAAGGGCATGTACCTCGGTTGCAGGCACATCCCCAGTAGGGGGTGTGCAAGAGGCAGCTGGTCGATGTTTCTCTCTCATCGATGTTTCTAACTCTATCTCTCTCCCTTCCTCTCCTTAAAAAATCAATAAAATATATATTTTAAAAAAAAAAAAAAGACAGCGGGAGAGCGGAGAGGACCTGACGCTGCACCATCCCCTACAATGCCCGGCTGCCCACAGCCACGTGGCTCTCTCTGGTGGAGCAGGAGCTGGCCAGTGCCAGGTCCGCCACATCAGTGACCCGAGGCCCTGGTTCCTGAGCTCCGGGGAGACGGCCTCTCACGGACCAATTCCCCTTCCGAGCCGAGCACACAGCACCCCTCACCTGGTCCTGTTCGTGTGGTCTTTCCCGCAGTCGGTCTGACCTTGAGGAGACAGTGGTCGGTGAAGGGAGAGGACACGGAAATATTGTTCTCCATTACTCTCGCTTCAAACACAGCCTGGACGAGCGTGACTGGGTGGTCTCCTGGCCCACGGCCAATGGGAAGCACCAGATTACACAACGGGGAAGCGGGGTGCTGGAGGCAGACAGCCTGCTGACAGCAGCACAAAGGAGCAGAGACAAGCTGGTGACTCCATCAGCACCATCTCCGAGGGAGACCAGTGTTGGGGAGCAGATTTGCAGACCCAGCAGCACCTCAATGACATCATGAATGAGAACATAATGCAACAATTGTGGCCCACTCTGACCCCACTAAAATGCTGAGAAGGGGCTGTACCACGCTCACCGTGTTATTTAAGAAGGCTGGAAAGCGGCGAAGGTATTATTTACAACTCCAACTGAAGTTTTAGAATGGATGAATCCCATTTTTGAGGTTTAAAGGTTCTAGCTTTAGTTCTTGGGTCAACTCACTCACGGGGACCATCTTATCTTTCAATAACGGTGAAAAAGATGACATACTTCTTTGCTAACAATAATCTGTTGCCAGTCCAGCCTCATCAGCCTTTGGAATCACCAAGAAGTCTAAACGTCAGGGCGGAGAAATAACAACATCGTTATGTGCAGAGTGCAGGTTTGGATCCTTAGACCCAAGAGAATCCACTGCAACCAAAATGCTACTGTAAACAGTGAGTAACGGCAGCAATACTGAGAGGAACGAAATACAACATGCAGAACCCTGGCCGGGCAGCGCAGCGGCTTAGAGCGTCATCCTGATACACCAGTTGTGGGTTCAATCCCCAGCCAGGGCACAGACAGGAATCAACCAAGGAACACATGCATAAGTAAGGAGAACAACAAATCGATGTCTCTCTCTCTCTAACATCTCTCTCTCCCTCCCCCCCTTCTTCTCTCTCTAAAATCAATATATCAGTAAAAACATGTAGAAATCAACATTCTCATAATGTTCAATAACTAGTTCTAACTGAAGTAACTAGAAGAGACGATGACAGTAGAGTTTACTTCCAGACAGTTTCAGAGACCTGACAGTTCCAGGTCACTGGACCTCGATGGTCATTTGGGACAACGGAGCAGCCCAGGAAGCCAGGCACTGAAGACGGGAGCTCCGGGCAGCCAGGAGCTCGGCCACACAGGGTCACATGG